TATGTTATCATTTTTTACCAGCCGCCGCTGCCTCCTCAGCGTTCCGAAGGAAATTGCTCCACATGCGAGTGTGTCAAATGGATTTTCTCTGATTTTATTACAGCAGAGTGTGCATCCTATATGGAAAGGGACAGCGAGAGAATTACTGGAGCAAATAATTGTATTAAAAATGATGTGTTCCCCCTTTCCGTCCTAATCCAGGGCTGCATTGCGCCGGCTGCGTATGAGCATGACCCATGGCAGAATCTTCAAATGCATTACACATATGTGTCTGTGTGCGTTGGAGGGGGTGGGGGAAGAAGAAAGAAGAGAGGAGGAGGGGGGAGAAAGAGAAGAAGGGGGTGGGGGGTTACAAGAGGCAGGATTTTGAGTGGCGTTTTCAGACTAGCGCTCCGCCACTGGCAGTGACAGTTCAGCATCTCCGCAGCCGTGCCACATGCGATATTTCATCTTCCGCCTCGTTCTCTCTCTCTCACGCTGCTCATCTGGGCTTCCGTCAAAACTCCAGCAGACAACAGCCATTAGTCATTAGGGCTAACTTAGACTGGCCTCAGCGCCAGTACTTTTCCATTGGTTTGTAGTCTGTGCGCAGTGTATCGTCTGAACTGGTACTGGTGTTGATATTGAGTTTTACTGGTGTTGATAGCTAACAGTTAAACTTGGCTAACTGCCTTGTAGGTCATTTGCTAGATGCTTTATGTTATTGTTAGTTGACGGTAAGTCTGTAATGATCGTGAAATTTTAGCTGATGATTAATTGTCAAATGCATAATTTTTCTTTTGTTCATTGAATCCAACTATTAAGGTATTAGTCACTTGGCTGATTAGTAGTTTTGCTTCTTTGCTGTCCATATTTAGTAGCTCCCAACTGACAGCAGACAAAGCTCGAGCTCAAATAAACAAACATTACTCACTACTGCCCTCTAAAGGTGCTATAGGACCAATTCAGAAGTTAGAACCTTCATTGTTTTTATAAGACCCATCTGATGTCTCAGTAAATTGTATTTCCCTCATTTCAGCTGATAAATACAGCTAATTCACATTTTCTTTGTTGTGAAGACTTTATAGTTATGATCAGGCGATTGTGTAATAATTGTAAATGGCCTAACAAACAGTCAAAAACTAAAATAGGACGTTTTCTTTTTGGAAATTAGATTTCTTTCTAGTTAGTATTTTATGTTTAGAGGTATTAACTGATTTAAAAGTGTAACACATTTTGTTTATGATGGGATGTGAGGTTCCATTCAGTGTCATTTTAATCAAAGCATTATTTTAGTAAAAGCTGTTTCATTATTGTTAATTTTAATATTCTCTAATTTTGCTCTGTGCTGATTGTTAGCCATAAGTTTCCTTTACTATAGCATTTTAGCTCCTGTACAAAATGAAGCTTCAACCAGCCATGTGCTAACCAGATTTTTTGCTGAACTATCACTGTAAAGCAGCTGTGCACAATGATATTGGAATAATAAAAAAATCATTGTTAAGTTTCTAACACTGTAGAAATTAAGGTTATATATATTTTTAATTTTAATGCATGTGCATTTAGTTCTGATATCTATGTTTTTATAAACGCTTTTCTATCTACGTTGTCAGATATATCCGTGTAAAATATCGGCTGTCGTCAAAGACCAGCAGCTCCCATATCGGAGCACCTCTTCTTCAAAGGGCCCGTATCATGTACAATCAAACTTTTTGGAAGTAAAAGAATCGTGACGCAGTATATAAATGCTGTTAAACTTTCTTAACATTTCGTTCACTCCCCAGTCCATAATAGAAGCTAAATAGAAGTTTTGACTTGATTTTGTGATGTCACACATCACTATATTTATTAATTTGGCGTTTCAGCCTGCAGAAGTTTAGCTCCACCCATTCACACTGAAGCTGCTCTGAGCGTTTTTGGATGCTTTTTCAATGAGGCACAAAATAGGGCAGCCAGTCAGAACAGATGTCATTTACATATCAGTCTTGGAGGCAGCCTGTTTAATTCTAAGGGATAAAAAGAGGTTGGAAAATGGTCATGCAGCAAGTAATTTTGATAGTTTTTTTGGTACATAAACCTGTGCAATTTACATAAATGGATCTCAGACAAAATGAAGAATATGGGCCCTTTAAAGCATGTGGAACATAACTACAAGACATTTGGAATATACTGTGATATTGAGTTTGATCAGTATTGTTCAGTGTTGGCCTCTACAGATATAGCAGTTCTCGCTTGCAGTCACAAAGCAAGCCCTCTTAATGTCTTCCATAAAGAGAGAACGGTCCGGATGAGTGCTGGGGGATGTTTCTAACTCCAAAGTGCTTCTAGCCTAATGCATTATTTAGCGTTTGACTGGCTTAAGCCATCCATCTGACTTCAAACGCTCTCTTCCTCTCTGTCCCTGCCTCCGTCGGCCCACGGCCGTTGGGTAATTGAGATGGTGAGTGCGCGTGTGCGTGTGTTGTGCTGTCTAATGGCTCGTTGTTCCTGCCTAATGGTGCTAAAGCTTCTCAGTACACCTCCTCCAAACTGCAGCAAGACACTCTCCCTGACTCTAAGACTCTCAACGCAAAGCAGATGGACACAGGGAAGTCTCTATCTCTCTCTCTCTTTTCTCTTTCTCTTTGTGTGTGTGTGTGTGTGTGTGTGTGTGTGTGTGGATGTGCTGTGGCCGAATAGCCCAAAAATGGTATTGATCTGCAGCTGAGAGGGCGGTCTGGAAACTTGCCTGCAGCAGAGAGGGGGTGAGAGGGAGAGAGAGAGATATGGATAGTAAGTTACAGCTTGATGGAATAGTAAAATCGGAGAGGGAAAGAGCCATTTCACTTATTAGAGAGAGGGCTGACAGGAGAGGAGTCTGATTGGCTGTAGTGTGTAGTGTTACAGCAGGCAGCTGAGTAGAAACCTCTTACTCCACGTAGATGTCAGGCCGTGTTACTTTGAAATGACTTGCGCGCACAGAATCCAAAGAAATATGCTGAACGCAGGTTTTCAGCTCTCAGCTCTCTATCTCACCTCAGTTTACACCAAGATATGTCTGCCTTTGTATTAGCAATGGCCCAGTATGAAAATTCCCTGTCATGACATCAGTGACCAAAATAAGCACTGTTTTTTATTACAGTATTGTAAATATCGTTGCTGTCAATAAAATGTATCTCCAAAAAAGGTAACTTGTACAGGAGAAGACAAAACGTTCCTAACTTTTAACGTGAGTTAATGTGAAGACATTTTATTCTAAGTGATTTTGGAGCATTTTTATTGGCCCATTCATTATAAAATATTCACACCATGTAGAAGGCAGCTGCTGTGATAAAGGTATGTAGAAATATGTAAATAATACTCTGAAAATGATTATTGACGTCACTTCACTGCAGGTATTTAAGTTTTTAAACTTTTTAAACCACTATATGTCTTCTTAATACTGAAAAAAACAACTGTGTTTTAAGTAAATGAGTTTTGATGGGCCCGTGTGGGGAGACTGTAGCAGTAGGCTGTTAACTTCCACTGTGACTTTTTCAAAAGGCAGTAGGCTAAGAGTTATTTTGAAACTGTGGGAGGAAGCTGGAACAGTGCGTCTTTTTGTTTTTCTTCAAGAGCGGAGGGAAAAGAAGTGCATTTAAGATCAGAACAGATGCTGTTCTGCACACTTCTGCACAGCCGCTGGTGTTGTCAGTGTAAGCTTTACTACCTGCAGCGTGTGAAGATATCGAGTGTCATCCGAACGGAACGCACAGTGACCGCACCTGATGCTTCAAGTCTATTATTTGTTGCTTGTTAGAGCTACATGTTGCTAAAAAACATGTAACAAACACGTTTATCACTCGCGACTGGTTATTTCCTAGTAAATGTAGTAAATGGATTTGAAAAAATACGTTTTAGGCCGAAAACGTATATCAAAGCTACTAGAAATCATTGTCCTAGGTATCAGTCGGTGTATTCATAGCTGTTTTATGCATGAACTTTCTCTGAGGAAGCTCTTGGAGACATCTGATTCCTTTCACCACCAATGTGTACAATTTTGACTCGTTAAGTTTCTCCACAATGGAGCATTTTAAATTAAAACTAATCACACTTAACCAATTAAACACTTCAGACATCTGGTTCCAATCAATACAACTGTGAACAATTCTGACTCATTTTTCTAGAACTGAGAATTTCGAATTAAACCAGTCTGAATTTTTTTTTCATTTTAACCATTTAATTATGCAGAATTCCCCTTTAAGTTTGAAATGATATGAATATCCTAATTACACTGCTTTCTACTGCGATGTATCGTTAAAACCAGTAACTACTCCCTCCCTACCATTTGACCAGCTTTGACCTTTTGAAGTGATCATACATCAGATATCAGATTTAAAATGAACTAAAAATGCTTTGATTTTCATCTTTGTTTATACCATGATACAGCTTTAAAACCAGTAATCATTCTGTCCCTACTCTATATGTACAAAAAAAAATCCAAAAATTTCTTGTTTGGTTTCTTTGCCCTTCCCCCGAAACCACACACGCACACTTCGTCTGGCCCAAGCTGATTTGCCCTATCGCTAACAGTAAAGCGGCTTTTTGTTGTGCTAACAAGATCGGGACTCGTTTAGGAGTAAGTATTAAGCACTCTGATCCCTCATGCACCCAGACAGATGGGTGGGGGTGGATTTTTCTCTCTCTCTCCCCCTCCCTCCCTCCCTCCCTCTCACTCACTCAGTCACACGCACAGATTGTAGATCCTCTGATATGCTCACACTTACCGCTGCTTGTGTGCACACATTCTTTGCCATGCGCCCGCTTTATCTTCTGAATGATCCCCAGTAAACTGGCGATAACATATGATGTCACCGTAGATCCAAGGCTGATAAAACTGAGTCTGTTATGCGGCCCCCCGTTACGTACCGTGAACCTTCCTCCAGCCGCCGGATCTTCTTATTAAACCCTGAAAATGACAGACAACCAGGATTGTTTATTGCGTCAGGCCCGAGCGGTGGATGGCACGCAGGAGAATAGCTTTAATATGGAGAGTGGACTTGCGCTGGCTGTTTTGATTATTGGCTCCAACGTGCCATATTTTACCCCGAGGCCTCCTTTAATTGCCCTTATGGGATTGCGCGCACGTGTGTAACCATGGCAACCTTGACCTTTGACCTCGTGGGTTGAGCAATAAATCGGGGTGTGGCGGTGATGAGTATTGCAACAGACAATGGAATGAGCTCATTCAGTCAGAAACGCACAGCACAAACTGAAGCGTATCATTCCTCTACATTAATTAGAGCCGTGCCTGTGGGAATTTTCATTTCACTTGGAGTTAAGTGCTTTATTTATTTCTGTTTCTTTTTTTTGTTTATTTATGTTTGTTTATTTATTTTTGTTAAGCTTTTTAACCAACAGTTTGTCAGAAAAACATCCAGTTTACACAGTTTGGAAGCTTATACAATGCAGCATTATGAAACGTATGCCTGAATGTTTAAACACAAACCACTTTTGGACAAAACTGTAATATTTTAGCAATTTATAAAGATATCAGTGCGTCACACAGTGTCAGAAACCACATAAGCACATCTAAGAGAGATTACTTAACACTTGAAACAGTGAGGGAATTGTGTGATTTAGACATGCGGTTAGCATGATGCTAATTGGTGGGCTATAAGCTTCCATTATTTGTTAGCTGCATTAGCCTTGTAGCTCCAAAAAATAAAGAAGCAAACTTTAGACACCAAACATGTCTTGAATGATCAAGTACATTTTGAGGGAGAAATTTTAGTAAATTAGACTTTTTTGCCAAACTATCACTTTAAAGAAGAAAAACAAGTCCTTCAAAGACCTAGAAATTCTTGGCTGTTTGAGGGTCGACTCTCCTGTTGCAAGACGTTGAGTTAATTGTATTAAAAGTCCACATTCGCTGAGCCCCTTATTGTCATTACTGATTATCATCTCCATTTGTTTCACTTTTTGAGCCAAAAAATCAGCTTCGGTCCCCTCAGGCCACAAAAGCACAGGATCTGTCTTTGTTTAATGTAAGACATGCACACTCAGTATGGACCTTTTGAGTTATATGTACTGACACAGCCATTTACCAGTGCTTTAGTGATTTGAATTGAAATCTTTGTTTGAATATTGCAGTGTCAGCATCACCGATTCATCATGTTCAATAATATGCTGGTTTAAAGCGATACTAAAAAAACAAGCTCTTCCTCGAACTTTTTTGGGGGGTAAACTCTCTTAACTCAAATGTAGTTGATCAGGAAAGACATGTTTGTTGTCTGAAGTGTTCTTATTTAGTTTTACACTGGAGATAGAAGGCTTAGGGCTGAAAGATTAATTGTTTTTATATCAAAATCACAATTAGGAGTGCAATTTTTAAACCACAAGAGCTGTTATTGCTATTATAGTTTGTATTATCAATTTTAAGTGGGGAATTTTAACCTAATAAGACTGTGACCCACGTGTAGATGAGTTAGACCAATCAGAAGCAACCAGACGTCTATCTGCTGTGACATCACAACCACAGCTGACTGGCAGTCTGGCACAGTGTGTCCAGTGTTCACGCTTCAAGCCAGAAAAAGTGGATATTCTGTATCTTCTTGGCCAACATGTCACCAATTTTTAGTCACAGCATTTTTCAGAAAAATTGCAAGTGGCTATTTTCCCCTGAATCGTCCCTAGATTTTCACCAGTGTCGATAAATCTGTGGAGCTGTGATCCGTAGCTGTAAATTACAATCCACTTGTTTTATAGGTCTCTCAGTTCCACAGTAAAATTGTTAATATCAGAGGTTTCATATCAATTAAATATTTTCCCCAAATCATTCAGCCCTAACAAGGCAAATGTAGCTAATGTAATGGAAGTTTATGTCCATCGATTAGTGTTATGCTAACTCTCTGAGAGACCTGTGTGGTTTCTGGGCCTGTTTGATCTTCTGTTATCTATAAAAATGGGCAAAACATTGCATAGCTAGCATAGCCACCATCTTTAAGCCCTTATTGTCTCCTTATTGTTATTATTTTTATATATATCAGTATCATACTGTGTCAGAAACCACATAAGGAATGCATGATTTAGGCCTGTGCAATAGATAATCATAAGCTTCCATTGTTGTTTCTTTCCTTGTAACTCCAAAGAAGCAAACCTCAGACACCAACTGTGTCTTGGCTGACTGACTACATTTGAGGTAAAGGCACAATAGATTTTTTGACAAACTGTCACTTTAAGCTTGCTTGCTTAAATAAGCTTTTTTCCTGCATGAGGGCAGAAGAGTCTGTTTTGGTCTTAAAAAGCTGTGAGAATTTGGTGCAATGTTTGGCAGAGCGCTTCCTTTCAGCCTTCTGCTTGTATTGGGTCAGGAAAGCTAATGAAAAAGAGGCAGGGCTGGTCAGGAAGGATTTGAGAAGAGAATGAATATATCGCCATCATGGAAATTTAAGATGTCGACGAACAGAATCAGGTTTATCGGCCAGGTATGTTGACACACACAAGGCATTTGGTTCAAGCTGTTGTTGTGTCTCTAGTATTAAAGGCAGTATATAAACAGTGTATGAATAATTCAGATAATACACAATGTACAATAATTGGCACGAAAAAATTATAAATCGCCTGATGAGTCCTTTTGCTTCCATGCTGTTAATACTTGTTTCCAAATGATGACGGGCACAGCTCAAGCTCAAATAAACGGACGTTGTTCATGTTTATAGAACCAAATATGAAGTTAGTTTTGTTGCTTGTGTTTTTTGTCTTCTTGTGCTTAAATGTATTCGACTGTGATGAACGAAATCAATGGTGAAAGCTAACAACAGTATGAAATAATCACGGTCAGCTCAAATAATTGCGATCAGACGACTGTGTAATAAGTGGCACATGAACATGCGTTTATATAATCTTTACGGCTCTTTCTGTAGGGGAAAAGACGTCTAGTATAGCCGTGAAAGTATTTATTTAGACGCCCCCCCAGCCAAAAAGGAAAAATGTAAGCTTTGCGCACAACATAAAAGTGAGAGGCTGGAAAACACGACCAGCACAAAGCGGCACACACTTCCCCCATACACTCGCGCCTTGTTCACTTAAGTGCCTTGCCCTTCTCAACTTGTACCTCTTTACTCGGTTCCTTCTCTACCTCCATCAAGCCCTATCCTATTCCCTCTTTCCCCTCCTCCATCCTCCCTCCCCCCTTGCTTTTGCCATCTGTTGGCTGGTTGTCCTCTGTTCTCTCTCTCTCTCTCTCTCTCTCTCTCCTTGCCGTTTTACCTGGGTGTGCTCTTTTTACGGCTGTTGGAACAGAGGGAGCTGCAGCAGGAAGCGGGGGGCCTCCAGACCAGACTGGACTGCGGCAGGCTTTGTACTGGACGCTATTTGTGCTATGTCTGCAATATGAGCTGTTCAGTTGTTTATTTCGTATAACATAAAGTCCAGTTTCGGCCAAGAAGACCAGGATATCCACTTTTCTGGCTTGAGGCTTGAACACTGGACACACTGTGCCAGACTGCCAGTTAGCTGTGGATGTGATGTCATAGCAGATGGCAGTTCGGTGTTATTAGGTTAAATTTCCCCCACATAAGAAAACATTGGTGATAATGTAGGCTATAATAAAAATGGCCGTTCTTGCTATTTGAAAACACATTTGATTAAGGTCTGTCAGTGAATTCTGGCCTAAGTTTAATTTTATTTTTTGTATTATTCTGTAGCGCATCATTGTTCCTCAGCCTCATCAGTTCAACAGAATTCATGATTTTACATCATTTTTTTTCTGTCGTCAGTGTTCTCTCACAACAGTACCCAGCATGCATTGTACACGTACGTCATATAGCCGATGAGAATCTTTGTAGTGTGAACCAGTCCTGAATGCTAGTCTAGCAACTCCTCTATAGAGCAGCTGTTCTATAAATACAACCTAGACAGCATTAGTGTATCTGCACACACAGTGTTTACATACATCAAAAAAGTGTGTTTTTCCATGATATGTGCACTTTAAAATGATTTAAGTCTGTTCACACCACCATGTAAAATATATTTTGGACGATTATTATTTGTTATCAAAATTTGTAGCTCTTTAAAATCGGTATCAGTGATGTTTTCATATCACTCAGACCCTAAAATATAAATGTGGACGTGGAGAATTTCTCAGATATTTAAGTGTGAGTGAGTGGAAAAACAGGAGTGTGTGTGTGTGTGTGTGTGTGTGTGTGTGTTTGGGAGGGGACAGAGTTCTCAGATGCTGAAGGAAATTAAAGCGCATGCCTCTGCTTATGTATGACTCACTGTCTCTGCTCTCTGTCTTTCTGCTTCTCTTCATCGCTTTCACTCCTCTCTTTTCTTTCTGCCTCTCTTCTTTTATCCTCTCTTTCATTCTCCCTTTGTCTTTCTTTCCTTCTTTCTTCCTTTCTTTCTTTCTTTCTTTCTTTCCTTCTTTCTTTCCTCTTTCACTCTCTTCTCTCTCTCTGTCTCCCTCCCCCCTTTTGGCCTGGTCTGCCTCCAAGACATTCCACGTCTCAAATCTCTCCATCCCTCTCTCCTCTCCTCCCTCTTTTTAAACACATGCTCAGCAGATGTGTCCCTCTCTTCGGCCTCTTCCCCTCTCTGTGTTTCGCCCCGCTGACATGGATGTGTTTTCTGTACTCTATTAAAGCAATACTTCTTTAAAAAGTTTATGCAGTTTTTCCCGTTACTTCAAATGTACTTGGTCAACTAAGATGTGTTTTGGGTTCTAAAGTTTGCTTCTTTAATTTTGCGCTGGAGCTACGAGGCTAATGTAGCTAACAAATAATGGAAGTTTATACCCCACCAATTAGCAGTGTGTTAAATCTGTGTGGAGACCTTAGGAAATCTCAACTTTATGTGGTTTCTGAAACTGGATGATGCTTCACATCTGAATTTCTACAGATTTCTATTATTTCTTCAACTTTTTCTCCAGCTTATCAAACCTCAGAGAAACTATATATTGTGAAAATGTCTTTTAATTGAGCCGTATCACCCTGAGCTCCTGCTATAAACACACAGCCGTCACTGGTGTTAGAAATGGGTGAAATGTACACGTGTTCAGTTCTTTTATGGAGATGGAGACGCTTTGTGAACGCTGAGTGAACCTGAAGATTTTTGCCTTCAGAGCAGAATCACCAAACTCATTAAGATTAACAGATTTATTAGCATTAGCTAGGAGGCATTCTCTCTCTCTCTCTCTCTCTCTCTCTCTCTCTCTCTCTCTCTCTCTCTGTGTCTCTCTCTCTCTCTGTCTGTCTCTCTCTCTCGCTCTCTCTCTCTCTCTGTCTGTCTCTCTCTCTCTCCCCATTCTCTTTTTCTGTATCTCTTTGTCTTTTTCTCTCACCTTGTCTGTCTCCCCCTCACTCTTTCTCTTTTGCTGTATCTCTCTCTTTCTACCCATTGTTTATTTTCTGTCTTTTTCTCTCTCTCTGATTCTTTTTCTGTCTCTCTCTTTCTCTTTTTTTCTGTCCCTCTCTCTCTCTCTCTCTCTCTCTCTCTCTCTCTCTCTCTCTCTCTCTATCCGGGGTGCACAGTCTGTGCTGTGCGCATAGTGTTCCCTCAGGGGACGAGTGGAGAGGGACATTGGTTCCAGCAGTGAGCGAGAGTACAAGAGATAAAGGAGAGAGAGTGATAGAAAACATGCTACGGAGGAGAAAACAGTTTTTTTTCCCCCTTTTCGTTCTCTACGGTGTGGCCCCTCCCCTCTTGTTTTAATTGGCTTATGCAACCATAAAGGATGAACTGCAATCACTGACTGGAAATCAGTGCTAGTGGTGAAGTGCACTGCGTGTAACCTACTGTAATGTAATGTACTTCACTGCACCATGGCTCTGTATCACTTCGTTAACAACATTTAAATCCCACCCTGTCCAGTGATTTAAAAAGGACGGGTGAATGTTGGTAATATTTCTCGTCTATGAAGCGTTTGTGCCCAGACCAGGTGTTCAGATTTCAGAGGAATGTGCAGCCCCTGTTCCGTTATCTACAACAAACATTAACTTGATCTTTTGGCCGCTAATAGGTAACTGTTAAACACTGCGTTGCCTATTGTTCAGCCAGCAAATGCACCAAATACACTAAAAGTAAACGCTGAGAATAAATTTCATTCTTACAGTAATTTGATACTTTAGTTTTAGTTTCAGTTCAAAGCTGTGGAACGATATTTTAAAGATTCTGAACAGTGATGAATGACCACTCAGCTGTGCTGTGAGCTGCTTTTTCTTGCCTCTTCATCTTCAGACTGATGAGCAGGGTCTTGAAGTTTGCAGTGATATTCAGAAAGAATAGTAACTAGGTGTGTAACAATTCACAGAATTTATCATCCGATTCAATTATGATATAATAGTGTCTCAATTCAAAACATTTTTCAATGCAGCAAAAATAAGGAGTGGCTGAAAACTGCCTTACGTTTAACATGTTAATGTTTTTCGTTTTCATTTTATTGGAGCATAGAGCATTATAAAAGTGCTATATTTGTAACAAAAGCTGAGCATTATAGTGTTTCAATGTAATGCTCAAGCCCCAGGCTAACATGCTAGTCACGCTACAATGATGTGGTACAATATGATATGCTGCGATACAGTTCAGTACAATACAATATGTCGTACTGGTTCATATAATTTTGTGCACCTTGGACTAGTGATGAGTCAGTTCTTCTGTTCCACCTTAAATAGTGTTGCAGTTACATTCTCAGTGTCACTATGGCATCGTTTAAGGTGGAACGGAAAATTTGAATAGGAAACTGGTGAATAAGCCAAATTCAGCCTTGTGGAAAGAGGAACTAGATCACATTCAGCTGCTCCAGAATGAAAACATTACATCTAGTTCGCCGACTAATAATGGTTTATTTTCATAGAATTATGAATACTGTAATCGTACATCACTCAGAGTTTCCCATCAAACTTTGAGCTCCCTTTTAGCCTTGTCATGTGAAATTCTGTGAATTCTGATGGTATAATGTGTTAAAACAGTAATCAGCTGTAATCATTTGTTATTACCTGGTGTAATCAATGAGTTTTCATTGTATCACTTACTGTAATCCTGTAGCTACTTAAAAAGAGGGGTACACTGTGTTTAGGAAGGTTTAATGTCTGCGGTATCCCTTTATCATTGGCTCTGGAGCTGTTTCGGTTTTGAATTAGGTGGAGTCGAGGAGCCGACCCCCTCAATTACGACTGGTTCCGAGAGTCGGAGTCCGAGAGTGGACCGAACAGGCCTCTTCACAAGCAGACCAAACTTGTCAGAAAGTAATGGCCTGATCATTGGTTTCATTAAACAGTGTGTTAATACTCAAATATTTAGCTTCTCTCTTCATTTTAAACTGAGGCAGTTTAGACAAAAGTCAAAATATTTAGATTGCAGTTATTTTTTTTAAAGTAACTTCTTATATTTAAATGAAGGCTGTTAAAGTTGCCATGCTAATAATGTTAATGTGATAAATTAACAGCACTTTTAAAATCTATGAAAAAAACATTTTGTGTGTTACTAAACACATTATTTAATATCTACAAATATTTAACTAACATTATTGGCCCACAATCTTTTTTTAAGAAAGGTTTTAAAAATATAAGAGATTTAAAATAATGTTTGTTTCTGTTGTACTCACTGCACTATTGAACTTTGAACTTCAGACTTCAGTTTGGCTTTCAGAGTGACCTTTCATCTCTCGCTCTCTCTCTCTTTCTCTCTCTCTCTCTCTCTCTCTCTCTCTCTCTCTCTCACGCTTTGTATCATGTCCTCTTGTTTTAATGTGTAAACAATAGCTCCGCTGGAGTGAGGGATCGTGGGACAGCGTGCAGTTTAGTGTTTAGGGCAGCAGTAATCTGATTAGAGCCCATTATGGGACAATTAACCACGTAGGCCTGCGGAGTAACACTCGCACAGAGGCGCTGAAGTCATCTCACAGACACCCTCATATCTGCACTGGTCCTGGATCAGCGCTTCCTCTGAAGGACTTGATCCTAGGTGGTCCAGTTTAAGCACTGCGTCATCAAGGTCATTTTAACCTGTATGTCGCCGCGCGTTTGGTGTATTAAAGGGGCTGCATGGAAAACTGAATTTTCCAGACTGGATTTCAGTCTGAACAGTTTGTTCTGTCCTGTTCTGATCTGATTTCTGAATGAGGCACAATACAGGACAGCCGCTTGGAACAGAGGTCATTTACATGTTCACCATAAAGATACAGTAACTAATACAGTCTGTCTAAGAGGCAAAGAAAGGTTGGAAATTGTCATGTAAAAATGAATTATAATTTTTTTGGGTGTACATAATCATACAAATGTGGACTTACAGTCTGTGCCGAGACCATGTAAATAAACTGTCCTTGGATTGGCTGCTCTGTTTTGTGCCGCTTTGAGGAAGCAGACTGAAACATTCTTTATAACTTCAGCAAAAAGGGGCAGGTATAAACTGCTGTAGGCTAAGTAAGTGAATATGTGTAAATATTTTTGTTTTTTGTGACGTCAAAAAAAAACAGTGACTTAATCCAATCCAGCCCTCGCAATTGTTTTGATTTTCTATTAATTTTTGCCCATTTCGCAATCAGCAGCACTACAATCCCCAGCATGCAGTGCGACGTAATTTGCGCTGACGCCCCACTCCCAACAGCAATCTAAGGGACAGCAGTTTTCTACCCAGTTGCAAATGTCATATCACTAAAAAACTGACCAAGCACACAGGTAGGTTTAAAAGACCTGCATCCTGGGGACATTTTAAAAAGATTTACAGTTATCTGTAGCTAATATAGCCTAAATGTATTAAGTATTCATATGTAGTATTTGAAGGCTTATTACAAGTGGCTATTTTATGCTGTTGACTTTTTGTCGTATTAAAATATAAACACTCTCGGCCCACAGAATATTTGGCATTTTTTAATGTGGCCCTTTTAGTGGCTGAGTTTGACACCCCTGCCGTATATGGTCTGTGGACTAGGGAATGATCAGTTCATGGAAAAAAAAAGTGTGGAAAATTTGTTTTTCCATGATATGAGACCTTAAACATTTGTGTGGTTTGTTGTACCAAAAACATCACAACCATGGTTCATTCTAAACAGGCTGTTTTTGTACTTTAGTTCCCATGTATGGTCTGTGTGGGTGCTTTAAAACTTTAATGATGTTAACATTCTGCACCAGATGATTATTTTATGTAGTATGTTGTTGTTGTTGTTGTTGTTGTTGTTGTTTCAGAAAACTGAGGAAAACTTGGTTTTCCATGATTTGGGCTCTTTAAGAACAGGAAATTTAAAGGATAAAGGAAAACGGACTATTGACCCTTTAAAGTGATAGCGGCTCTGCCGTGTAATGAAGTGTGTTGTGGTCCTGTATTGTTGGAAAATGCGCCCAGTGCTCTCGTGGCGAGTGCGTCAGAGAGCATTAGTGCTGATCTGGGATCAGGTTCCCTAATGAATAGTGAATAACGGACGGAGCCGAGCTGATCCTGTATCATAGTAAAACTGAGCCGCCTGCGACAGGAGAAACGTCTCTGTTTGTGGCCACTTTTAAATTCTTCTAGATGAATAAAAGCTGGCGGCCTTCACGCCCCTTATTTTACAGCAGCAGACGCAAAACGATTTCACTCTAAATGCCCTGAAGTGAATGAAAAGCCAGATGTTTCTGTGGTCGCCTGAGACATTTGTCAGTTTTCTGGTTCAGGATGAGCAGAGATGACTGGGTCAAGATGGAAGAGAGTGGGGTGAAAGGAGCAGCTTTGGGTCAGACCTCTTAAGGGAATACTGCAGAATTTTTCAACCTAATCTGTATCTGCTGGCTCTGTATCGTACAGTTGATTACCACAGACAATAATTTTCCTGTGCTTAGAAAAGAGCAGAAAATGTGTTGACTTATAGCACAAAAACAATAAAAGTCAGTGGGCATCTGCTGAGGTTGAGTCAGTTTGGGAATTGTAGTCAACAGTACTGTGCAAAAGTCAGAGACCACCCTTCATTTAGTTTCCAGTCAAAATGGCCATTAAATAGAAGTTATTCGTTTTTCAAGAGATGCTTCTGAGGAAATTAGATGTCAGGCTTCGGTCTGAAAGGATGTGTAGCTGTCAAAAAGCCCTCACTGAGAAAAGGAAATGGTTAAAAAAGAAGAAAATTTGCACATCAGACAAAAGCTTCTGGTGTTCTCAGAACAATGGACCCCAGAGTCCAGACCTCAACATCACTTCATATTTCTTTGAAAAACTGAAAGTGGGTGTTCTGAAAAGACTGGAAGCTGTAATAAAGTAAAGTGTGGACATACTAAATACTGTGAATATAGACATTATATTTAGTTTCTGAGGCTTCTGTGTAATTTTCTGTTAAACATGTTTTCTGCTGTTTTTCCTGGTGGTTCAGTAGCTTGAATCAGTAGCTTGATGGCTGTTTTAACTTAAAATTAATTAAATGAAGTGACTCTCTTCTTGGTTATTGACCGTATGCTGCAGATGGGACAGGTGGAGACTAGGTGTTTATAACGCTGAAGTCTTCCTTTTAATGGGAACGAGCAAAGTGTACATTAATTTTGTTATCAGACTTCTTGGTTTAGCACAAATGCAGGGAGAAAAGGAGAGAATGTGCATGTATGTGCATGTACACATGGATATGCAGGATGACACACACACATTTCCCCAGAAATTGACATCTCATTGTGTGAAAGTGATGATTTGCTCGGTCACTGTAAGTGCACTTGATAACGGATCACAGCAGTTGATATAATTGTGTGATTCTATATTTTTTCCTGAGTGAGTCACTGAACAGAAAGGAGAGAGGGGTAATTAGGCAGTAAAATGCACTCGCTAATTCCATCTCAGACAAAGGAGGGAATTATTAAGTAAAGTAAGTGTGAAATTAATAAACGTGTACAACTCTGAAAGTGATGACATTGGAAACTATAAAACTTTTAAACGCAGTTTTGTAAAGAGATCAACTTTGGTGTGTTATATATATATATATATATATATATATATATATATGGTAATGATGGAGGCTCTGCAGTGCTGTGTTCTGTTAAAGGTACAATATGCAAAATGTAAAAGTCACTGTAAAAAGATTATTCTAGTTCTTTTAAACCTAATCTTTAGGTGCTGAATCTGTATAATACTGTTGATTGCCTGGGACTCATTTTAGCACATTTCCAACAATGACAATAGAAGTCAATGGTGAGCCACTTCAGCATCTCCCCATGGGCTTCTATTAAAAGTGTATTTAAGGTCAGTAAGTTTCCTGCTCTTTTCTAAGTACCTGGAAAAGCATCTAAATTATGGTCAGTGGTATTTGACCGACACCTACATGTGTGGCAGATGGAGATTTGGTTTAAAAATTCTGGTGTATTCCTTTAAAGGTGCAGTGCCCACGTTGTGTCTAGCAATTATAGGGGTCAACTTCGTGGCTGAGGGTCTGCTGACATATCACTCAAGCCTAGAGGTATTGAAGTAGTGTAAAAGGGCAGGACTCAAAGGTTGTTCATTAGGCAAAAGGTCAATGTCCAGTCAATGTGTGATTTCTTTTTGCTAAGATTATTTTTTTTTTCCTTTCTAGAACAACGATCCCTTGAACATGGGTTTCCATGGATACCCCTCAGCCAGTCAGGTAAGACACGATCTTCAGTCAGTAGCCGACCTTGGGATGGCTGGATAGACCACCAGCATAATGTTTTCTTTACAGATTTACATAACTGTGTCATTTTGATGGAAAATCTGGGTAACTAACAATGGTCCTACACATTACTGTTGACCGCACAAATAGAAAATCAAAAGCATGTTCTGCAGACGAGCGTGGACATGCAAACCAGAGGGAAAGTAGAGCAAAGTAGTGGCAATTAGTGGGGCCCAAGCACTTTATTGTTTCAGTGCCAATAGAGGGCACTGCAGCAGTCTTTGTGAAAGAAACATTACTGTAGCCTGTGCAAGTGTGCAAGTCAGGTTTTGTGCCCTACAAAGGACATAACAGTTCATGTTTGGCCATGATTGATCATTGCTATGTCTGCCGCGGTTGCAGAAAGCATTCTTTTCTTAATTGCCTAATACCTGTAGGTCCTGCTAGGGCTCTCTACAAACCAGCCTGCAGGCCCTGAATCAAAATACCTTCTAACTCATTAGACTCGCCAGCCGATTATTGTTAGTTTGAGATAATTGTGCCACCTGTTAGACAAAGTCTGACAAAGCTTGCATGTTCTCTAAGAAGGACATGTAGAATCTGTGTATAAAGATCAAAGACGGCTATTAGCATCAGAAAAGCCATGACTGCTGACTCAGTACAGATAGTTGTTTTGCTTTACAAAAGATTTGTTGATCATTTATCAAAGCCAGGCTTGCTTGAAGACCAATTTGGTGAAGACCACATGAAGGACTGTTTTTAGAAAATGCTATGCAGTAAGCAATTCTTATCAGTTATTACTTAGCAGTTTATTGGTTGTTGAAATAGATAAGTAGACTGCCTCATTTTTTTCTGTTTTATATGCCTGAGTGATTCACTGTCTGAAGTTCCAGTCCTGGTTTTACTTAATTTACGTCAGGGCTGTTGAGTATTTAACGTTTTGAATATTCTGTCGAATATTATTAAGAATATTCAGATATCCTGTAAAAACAAGGGAAGCTTAAGATATGTTTTACCTAAATGTAACTTTTTTAAAAAAAAAAAATTAATGAAACAAAACTACAAAGTAATAGAAAAAAAAACACTAATAAACAATTAGTGTCATAGCAAGTACCAGAGGGATCCAACTCAATCTGGCAACCCTGACTAAGTTTATTAAACTGCTCAGAAACAACTTTATACCTGAGCATTTGCTAAACTCAGTTGTATTAGTCTGATTGCTGCAGTTTTAGTAATTTTCTTTGCTTTCTGGAGGGACGGCTCTCTATACATCTTGTTTATTCCCAAAAATAAAGGCAGCGGAGAGCATGCTAGCTCAGAATCTAAAGCGGGAAAAGCAATTGGACTGAAATGGGCAATTAAAACCGACATTGTCACCTCAAATTAGAGACCTATAATACAGGCAGTTAGGAACGGAGACTCGACCTCTGACTGCTGCTGAGATTTCACTGTGTGTTTGGCTGTGAAGAACTGTTTCACTGACAAAAAATAATTACCTATAGAAGTTTTGTGTGACGTGCTGACAGAATATCTTTCTCTTTACATTCACTGCTACTATGTGTCTTGCCAGCATCTGGCTTCATAAGCAAAACTTTGGTTCCCATAGGACTGATAAAAACTGATGCACAGAAGCTTATGCTTTCACAAAAATGGTTAAAAGTCTAAGTCATTAAAATTGCTTTTCTGTTTTCTAATATTTAAATGATCAAATTTGCCAGATTTTATCAAATATTCATTTCAGCCGTAATTAAGACTAAGGCTACAGTGAGCCATCCTGTGAGTGTTTTTTTGTTTAACACTATGAAACTTTCACTCCGATGTACTCTTTTATTAAATTCTCGTGCAAAATGGTGCAAATGAAACCTGTCCAAGATATACTAAATGTTAAAATACATGTGATTTTAAATATTAAAACTCTATATAATATTTGTCAACATTTTCGTTCCGGTTTATATCTGACAAAATCACTTATCTTCCCAGCCCTACTGTTGACAGCACTTCCACAGGAAACATTACTGCACTCACACAAATGTACTTTTTTTATAAAAACATCATGCCTCGAAGCTCAGTAGAGCACATGCTGTTTTTGTTAGAGGTTCTCAGAGTGCTGTAGCGCCCCTACAGGCTGAATCACTCCAGGTTCCACTCAGACTGCATGCCGAATGGCCTGTAAAACTCAGCTGAAAGCTGTTTAGCTGTCGGGGTTTCTTAAGATACTGCATTGCCATCTAAGCTCTTGTTCTGGCTTGCCATAGAATGTGAGGTTTCAGCTTTATTAGACCGGTGGTTCAGCAGCCACAGGTTACATGCCTGTGTGTGTGTGTGTGTGTGTGTGTGTGTGTGTGTGTGTGTGTGTGTGTGTGTGTGTGTGTTTTGACCCCGTATAGTCTCTTTTACCGCATTATGTCAGATTTGTTGTTTACTTGAGTGTGCATTAGCATTTGGAGCCGTTATCAGATTGTTCAGTTGCTGCAGTTAATCCTTGTATCATCCGTGGTTTATCCTCCTTTCTCCCCCTGTCTAATCCCTCCATCCCTCTCTTTATCCATTTATCACCATCCGTTTAACTCTGTGGCCTGGCATCAGTTTTTACTCTCGCTTTCATCATCTAGCTGCCACTGTAATTCAGTAGGCTGCCTCCAGGTGTTCGACCCATAGACATAGAACCACTTTAAAGGAACACTCCCATGTTTTCCAACCTAATTTCAGTTGTCTGCATCTGTAGCACACAGTCGATTACCATGGACAATAGAGATGCAACTTTGGCAAATTCTTTTGACCGATAACTGACCGTTATTAGCCAGTAATGGATCGTTAACCCATAAACATATGGTCCATGAAAACTTCAAACACAACACTCCTGTTTTATCTGATAATAAAAGTATAATTTTTTATAAACTAAGGTTTTAGTGTTCATTGAATGGAAAAATGCAGCCTAACATAACAGATATGACTGTAACATAATATATATAGGTCATATTTGTAGTTTATACAACTTTAGGCTTTTTTTTCATGGGACTGCCTGCGTAGGCTCACCATTAGCTAATAAACACATGTAGGCTATAGCTTAAGGCTACACTTAAGGCTACACTAAGGCTACAACAGAAGCAACGTGGCGTTTAAAAAAAAAAAAAAGTCAGTTGTAGCTGACTTGAGAACTATATCTGAATACTGTATCAGGTTCAGCTTAGACAGGGTTCCTGACTACGTTTCAGCTTCTGAAAACAAATGGAACCATGGTGAACTCATTTTTTGATAATTGGTTAACAGAGAAAGTTTAGATACGTAGGCTATGATTAGTCTCTGTGCACAAGAAGGCATGATTTATATGATGAAGGGCCAGTTGTGTGAATCGTGTGAGTTGATAAGGTTGTTTTATAAAGATGGATGAAGACATTTAATTAGAAAGTAAAGCATTTGTAATGGTAAGAAAGCAGTGCTGTCATCACTGACACTGTATTCGTGCTAGAAAAGTGAGGTTAGTGCAAAAATAGAGAGATTTCCAAATGTAATGAAGGGGGGGGGGGATAAAGTGGTCGTGAGGTTCCGCCAGTCCCTGATTGGACAGAAGCTCAGCCCTCATCGTGCTTACGATCTGAAGTTAACCAGCCTTGGAGCAGGTCAGACTCATCTCGCAACAGACCTCACAATGATTTGATTTAGGTTGTGACTCAGCAGTGCTGTCACTACCACCACCATGCTTTATGTTTATATTTACAATTGCTTTATGTTTTTCACAACTGTGTGAAAAAAGCGAGATTCTTCACATGATTGATGCCACAAAAGACACAAAAATGGACTGGTCCAGAGCTCGGCCCTGGTTGGTCCTGAACTAAACCGGTCTTGGAGCAGGTTAGACACACAGTTGCCATGCTAATGTAGCCCAGTAAAAAAGTGACCCAACGTTGTGAGACAGAAAATCCCGAGTTGGATTGAACTAAGCTTTAAAACCGTTGTCTCAAAGCACACTTATAATCGAAGCTGAGGGGCGTATTGTCCGTGATAATGGACCTCATGCTACAGACGCAGCAGATTACATTGAAAAGCACTGTAGGATTCCTTTAAATCTATGGCTACACCTTTGGGAAATGGATCAAAAGCACCATAACAGTAATTACTAGGGTTGGGAGGTATTTTATCAGATAATATAAAATTCATATCATCAGGCATTTCGAATATTCTCATTTCAAGCCGTAGCTTAATGACGGTTTGCGCTGTGCCATTAAGGCTGAATTGCAGTGGTCCCGTGTGTCCATTAGTGTAGATGCAGCCTTGCTGTCCATTAGCTAGCAAGGAAGGAACGCAGCTATTGTCAACAGAGAGCGATGGCAGGGCTGTACTGCTGCAGGCTGTGCAGCTTTGAGGAGCAGTGTAAATCTCTGACCTCATAAAGGTTTGATTCAGTTACGTTTCTTTAGCCCTGACCTCATAACAATTCAATTCAGTTGTGCTTCTTTAGCTGTGGCCTCACAGTGGTTTGATTCAGTTACTATTCTTTAGCTGTGACCTTAAAAATGGTTTGACTCAGTTATGAATTTTTAGCTTTAACATAAGGATTCGATTTAGTTGCAGTTCTTTAGCTCTGACTGCACAAAGATTTGATTCGGTTATGATTCTTTAGCTGTGACCTTGCAATGGAATTTTTCAGTTTCAGTTCTCCAGCTCAGAACTCACAGTGTATCGAATAGCTTAACATTCTTTAGCTCGGACCTCACAGTGATTCGATTCGGTCCCAGTTCTTTAGCTCTGACCTCACAATGATTCGATTCGGTTATGATTCTTTTGCAATGACCTCACAATTCTAATCAGTTATGGTTTTTTAAATCTAATTTCACAATGTATTCTTTTTGTTCTTTTGCCCTGAGCTCACAATAATTCAAATCGATTATGACTCTTTACCCCTGACTTCACTATTTAAATCAGTTACTGTTGTTTAGCTCTGAATTCACAATGTTTTTTGATTCAGTTATGATTCTTTAGCTTTGGTGCAACAG